CTGTTCAGCGGGAGAATGAGGGGAGTATACAGGGGAGATAAAGGGTGGGATAAAGAATTGGAGCAAAGTGCTAAATTATAGTCGTGAGGCTCTATCAAGTTGTTTGTGTTTACTACATCAGGTTGTTTGGGAGCCCTGTTGGAGGAGGAAGAGGAGGAGGAGGAGAGCCCTCACAGTTGCTGCCTCTGAGAACCAATCCGGCTGCTCGGTAGCAGCTCTATTCAGGGTCAACTCATGCTTGTTTATTTGAAAGAGATCCCGCTTTTTTAACTTCCCACCCCCTCCATTGTTCAGCCGCTCATGGGGAGGACTTTGAAATTGTAATCTCGGGATATTCAAACACTCACATTTGTTCTGACCTCTGGTGCCTGCAATAACATTATTATGATGGGACGGCCATTGTCGGCCCCGGATCTACAGTGCGTTCAACCATGCCTGATTTAAAAACGTGTCTTTAACTTTTTATTGGCTGACGTAGATTGATGTGAGGAGCGAGATTTAAAAACAAGGTTGGCGGAAGAATTACACCCGTTTCTCTGAGCGTGGCAACCTCTCAGCGAACACAGCCACAGACAAAGCAAACTTTGACAATTCACAACCAAATAGAAAACACAGCGTTTCACTAAATGCAATAACATGTCATTTAGAAAATAAACGGGCAAAAAACAAAAGGCCTCTGAAGAGCTGCTGTGCTTTTTCTCTTGTGCTGTTGGGTTCTCTGTTTTCTGGTAGTTTATTCAGAGCTGTAGAATTCTCTGAAATGTTGTGTTTTTAGGGTTTTTCACTTATGTTTTCTGTCCTTTTGTCATATTCTCGAAAAACCTTTTTATTGTCATATTTTCTGTGATGATGCTTCTTTTTCTTTTCTGTTTTGATGTATCTTGCATTGTTTGCTTTTTGGGGGGAGCTCTTTGAATTGTCATGTTTTCATTGTTCATTGAAATTTATCTGAAATGTTTGTGTTTTTAAACTCTAAAAACATTAGTAGTTTATGGTTTTCATCTATTTTTGCGTTTTTTGACATGTTGCATTCGATTGCCTTAAGGGGACAAACAACAAAACAAACTTCCAACAAGAAAAACATTCAATTTCAGATGATAAGTTTGTAAAGTATGTTCTAGTCTCTAAACTTTTTTTTCATTACCTCTATCAGAAACTCATGAGGTTGTGACGTCCCTGCATTGTAAAATAATATGTTTCTGCCACTGTCCAAAATGAATTCATTTAACTTTTTTTGTTACTGTTCTTCCTTTCCATTAAGACTGAATGATGATTCCAGTTAAATTTGACATTCAAAGTACAGAAAATAGGTTAAATGAAATTCCTCATATTTTATTTCACAGTGCAAATATCAGGGAATATTTGTATTAAATGGAAGATGAAATATTATAGATTCTAAATTGCTGCAATTTATACAATAGTTACTGGTTTTGGCCTCCCCAGCATTTGAACCCAGCAGTAAAAGAGAAAATTGATGCTGCTGCCTTGGGTTTCTTTCCACAGATAAACTGCATCACAGCTTTGGCTGCTAGGAGCGTATGAGATTGTGGTGACATTCTTTGGTTTGTGAATAAGACCACAGAGCAGCCACACAAAGTTCCTCATCCCCAGCGCTCAACCTTACTCGCCCACTCGCATTGTCTCTAGACTTTCCTCAAGAATGTGGATTTCTATGGCCGATGGCAAGCCAGATGAAATTGCCAACTGCATTGTCACCTCTCATGGTTTTTCTCCTTTGCGATCTCTGTTGGCAGCGAGGTCCAGGAGGAACCCTCTCAATGAAAACATCTGTTTTTGAAGAACACCAGACGACGTTGGAGATTTCTTCTGAGAGAAATCAGCCCATATCGGCATAGGAGCTAGCACAAGTTTAAAGTATAGATTCTACCGCCTCGGAAAAATGAAATCTACCCCTGTCTCCGGGCGGCTTGACTCAGAGAGAGCAGCTGTATCGCCGCAGGAGTATCCATGTCCTGATTGCTTTTTTACAGTCCGAAAAAGAAGCAGCGATGGGGGCAATTTGCTTCCTCTGCTCTTGCACGGCACGAATATTTCCCTCATTACCCGACACTCAAACACAGGGCACTCAGATGCCACAAGAGGAAGTGGCTTTGGCAGAAAATGTCAAACCAGCGTTTAAGTGTAGGACTGAAGCCAGTCTGATGTGGAATGGATCAACTTGTTAAGTCAAATGAAAGGTCAAAGATACTTTCCACAACGCTGAGAAACACAAATAAATGCAATTTTAAACTGCTGTAAAAGGAGTTCCATGCAGGACAACTTATGTGAGCCAGGTGAACAAATTAAAGCATTGGGATAAATGGCATTTTTCAAATTATACGTGAGGATAGTTATTTCTTGCTTTCAAAAGCAAGAGGACTACATTTTCCTGCAAAATGCTACTTTCGAGATAATCTTTGCTCAGGTTCCTCCTACTTCTGCCAACTTCAGAGAACAAAAGTGAAAGTGCCGTGTCTGTGTGCCACCACTGACACACCTTAAAGGAAGGGTTCCACATTTTGTTCTAGACTTTAAACAACCTGTTTTGCTTTGTTTTTTTTTATGTCAGAAGGACATTTATAGCCTTTCGTGGACACCAGCTCACCTGTAGTCACACAGATGGTTTTGATCAAGGGAAGTTTGCCCCTTTGGGAGTTCTATGAGTCAAAACGTTTGACATAAGAATCACCTGAAAAGCTCAAAAGTGTTTTCTCACATCACTGCACCACTTGGCCCTTGCACTTTATAGACTAGATAAATGGTTTCAGCAAAGCATGACAGCACGGGGAACGGCCACTTCTGGAGCCAGCTGAGGGGGAAAAGTGCTTCCCATCAGGCTTGCATCGGCCTTGAAGAACAGATCTGCTTTCAAACTTGCTAACACCTTTTGACACAGCTCACTAGCCTGCATGCTGTTACAGAAATGTCTTTTAGGGTAGGGTCGAAAGGGGCCCAAAGCTAAATACATTCAAGCGAATGGCAGGGGAGGAGAGGTAACTGCACTTTTCATGTCGATTTATCTCCGGGTGTACCTGTATCAGATGAATCTCCGTGCACTCCGTGGCCCGGCTCTCATCTCCTTCTCGCATGCCAGTGTGGACATGAGAAACGTTTGCTGGGATTTAAACACAAACCAGCTGGGTGAGGAGACAGAAGGCTGGTTTTGTTAGATAGGAAATGAAGGAGAGGTCTCAACATCAGGATCTACTCAAGCTGAATCGTCAACCAAAAAAGTCGATGCCTCTTACCTGATGAGGGGTAAATTGTTCTTTGCACCTGGAGGCTTTCAAGGGCCCATCAGCCAGTAGTTTTAATCTTTTGTCAAAGAATCATTTGTTCTCTGTCATGTTTTGGGGGGAATGGTAACAGATTCTACAGCCACATGACAGTCCTGTGAGGAGTCATATGTGAGATGCAACAGTAAAGCAGCTGCTTGTATTTTCTGAGCAGCAGTGTTATAAATTAATCATTCATTGGTTCATTGAGCTGAGAAGGGAATCACAAAGTGGGAAAATAAAGTCATAGAAGAGCACAGATAAGCGGAGATCCTCCAGCACAGTTGATCTTGTTTACTCGATAGGGCTGATGGCTGCAGAGTTCTCAGAGGGGTCTTGTGTTGGGTTGGCTGTCACAGTTTGCTCCAGACGCCATCGGCTTGGACATGCTGAGCAAAAAAGAATTAATTCATTAAGTTTGATCTTTAAATTTCTTTTTTCTGAGACATAAGTGGGGGAAATACCATATGGATGCTAGCTATAGAAAGCAACTTTGTTTCTCAGTAAATGCTCTCAGGATTGAAAGTCCATAGTAGAATACTTACTAAAGTAGAATTCAATACATAAATGATCTAAAACAGCTAGAAAAAACTCAGCCCTTTCTATATGAGTGGCCTTTTGCAGTTGACAATGTGTTTTCTCACGGTGATCGACCTGCTGAGGACTTCAGAAAAATTAAGTGAGAAGTCAGTAACACAGCAGCTCATTTTTCTGCAAATTCTGGACTATGAAGGAACGTTTTTTTTTTTCATCGTCACCAAGCACACCTTCTCTGCTTCTTCTCGACCTTCACTGCAGCTTTTTGTTTGGACAGCCACACGGTTAAACTAAATATGTCAGCGCGAATTAAACTGGATCTGGCTTTGTCCGTATCAGCTTCGATGTGAAGCAGTGAGTTGTCGCATGCTTCCTCCCTGCTCCATGCAATGGACTGTGAAACACTCGGAGGACAATTGGCTAAGTGGAGTTTGGGTTTTCTCCCCGAGGTATCTTCCTTTTTGATCCTGCCGAGCCTGGCGCCTTGCAAAACACAACTTGTCTGGCTTAATAAATAGTTTGACCTGGAGAAAGAAAACGCCTGTTGCGTCTCAACTGAAACCATTGTGAGTGAGAAGAGCTCATGACAGGCCTTAAATTGGTGTAATGCTGTGACCAACGATCATGCCTAATCAATTTCTATTCCGGCAGCGAATTATTTCTAATCGATCTGATTTTCTTTGTACTCGCTTTATTGTTTATTTATTTGTTTTGTTATAACTTTTACCGAGATTTCTATATAAATGAAAACGTTTTTTTTATCTCTTTGAATTTGTCTTAACCATTTTCCTTGACCTCATTTCCATATATAAAAGAAACTGAAAAAACACATGTTTTTATATTTCATAAAGACAAGTTTTACTGTGGGAGTAATTCGAGGAGTGGTACCTATGGAAGCGACCGGCTAATAGATGTAAATGGTCAAGAAAGCCCTCCCCACTGCTTAATTGCGTTAAAATTGGTCTAAGCTACTTTGTGAGAGCCATCAATAACCTCGCTCTGCATGGGGTCTGTATGATTAACGTCTCCTTCCTTTGAAAGGCCTCTTGATGTTCTGTCGTACGGCAGTGGGCCAATCAAAACCGCACCCTGGCACGTCACGGGGCCAACTTGACGACCTGATTGGCGGAAGCCGGAAGGGAGAACGGCCCCTGTCCTTTTATAGACCATCCCATCCAGCGCGTAAAAGCTTCTGGACTCAGCTGACAGCGCAAAGACGCACGTTTTGGAAACGGTACATCTCAGCCACACAGTCCACTGAAGCGGGCCACACGGAGGTGCATGGCCCCATCCCCTTGTGTCATGATGAATCCTGCGCAGGGGTCACCGTCCCAAGACGCCAAACAGCTTCATCAGAAAGAGGAGACGGACGCGGAGGGCGAGGAGCTCCAGCCTAAAGACATGACAACCGAGAAAGGATACAAACTCCAGAGGAGCAGCCTTCCGTTTAGCGTCGAGTCGCTGATTTCCAAGACGACCACCTGTCGGACTTCTTACTCCCCCTCTGATTTAGCCGTGGTCCTGCCCAAGCCCGCGACCGGCCAGGGCGCGCAGTTCTCTCCAAGGACTTTTTACGCCGAGAGGAGGCTTTCTGCGGAGAGCTCTCCGGGAGTTTCCAGAGGCTCCGAAGAGGACAGTCCGCAGTTTTGTGAGAAAGAGCAGAGCACTTGGTTTCAGACGTCCTCCTTCTCTACACCTCCACGTAAGTCCATCCCTTTGCGGTTGTAAGACACGAGCTTACAACGCGAGGAGCGTTTATTCGTCTCCTCAGTTATTAAACCAAAACAATATCCCATTTAGTTAACTACAAGTTACTGTGATGAGTCACAAAAGCCTTTTAGTACGCGCATTGCTGTGTGGCTTAATAAACAGTGCGTAATACTCTGTTCTTTTTTGTTTGCTTTGTTGTTTGTTGTTGTTTTTTCTTCGGGATAAAATGATAACACAAACAAACAATCCCGTCTAGAATGTGAGCCGTTTTTTAAAAAGATGACTTTTTTCTTTGAAGGATTGTTTTATTTTTCTTCATAATCTTTTATTGTATCTACAGAATTGTTAAAACATAGATTATGTTGAGTAAACTCTCAGGGAGACAACGTTATTCAACTCTGAAGAACGGAATGAAGTCATGCTGAGTTGCTGGATTTTCATCTAATTCAGAAACAAACGTGCTCGTATGGATGTGCATGTGTTGCGTAAAGACGTGTGTTTACCTTCTGTTGTGACCAGCGTCATTGCGAACATGAACTTACTCTAACCTCTCCCCATTTCTCTGCAACAGGTAGTTCAAGCCCAACTCAGTGTACTTTAAGGAAGCACAAAAACAACAGGAAACCTCGCACGCCGTTCACTACCTCCCAGCTGCTGGCGCTGGAGCGCAAATTCCGCCAGAAGCAGTACCTCTCCATCGCCGAGAGAGCCGAGTTCTCCAACTCTCTCAACCTGACGGAGACTCAGGTGAAAATCTGGTTTCAGAACAGGAGAGCCAAAGCCAAAAGACTGCAGGAGGCCGAGCTGGAAAAGTTCAAACTGGCCTCAAAGCCTGTCATGCCCGCCTTCGCGCTGCCTTTCCCCCTCGGAGCGCACATGGGCACTCCGACGTGGAGCCCGTCAAACGCCTTCCCGAGGCCCAGCCTGCCGGTCCCAGGACTGTTCAGTGGACCCGTCACTTATGGGATGTACTATTTGTCTTAGTGTTCCCGTGAGCGTCTGTGTTTGTCTGTGTTACGGTTGCAATACACTTATGAATGAGGACGATGCCCACTTTCCAGAGAATGTTTTGTATTTTCCAATTTAGATACTTGGGGTTAGTTCATTAATAAATGCCGAGAGATCTATTGTCTGCGTATTTTGGACCCTGCCGTGTGCGTAAAAATAATAAAAAAACAGACATAAGGTTGTTAAGCGACATGCCTTATAACATGGCCTTCCAGCCCATCCAGTGCACATGTGAAAGTAATAGACATTTAAATGCTTCTGGACCTGAAGGAAATAATTCACCAAGGCGGAGGAAGAAAATACAACCGAAAAGTACTTAATCGGTGTCAGTGCCTTTAGACCACACAGTGCGCTATGAAGTGTCTCTGTTCATTCAGCTGACTGTTTTCTGGCTGCAATCACGCGAAAATGCTGTATCAATTTTATTTCCATGGAAATTCCTTTCAGTTTCTGTATTTTGTGAACAATAAAAAGGGACAAAGTTATTTTAGAGGAAGACACCTATTAGTTTATTAAGCTCTCACAATGTGGCCTTTATGTGAGTGATATATTAAATCTTTTGGGGGCGATTTTTGCTGTAAATGTAAATAGAAATTGTAGTGTTCTCAAAGACCTGCCGCCTCGCCTGAAGAGCAGGAAAAGTGGTATTTATTTTATGTTTGTATCTGTACTGTGTACATACAACAGTCTATCTAAATGTTCACTTACTTGTAAAAAAAAATGGTTTTAGTAAATAAACAATATAGTACAAGAATGAATGTTTTTGGGCTCTTTTTTTCTATTTTAACATATTCGACCCTTCCTCATTTTGTTTGTCTATTTTAGTTGGCCTTGTTAATGGAGCAACATTTTTCCATTACCCATTAAAAATGGATAACTGACGAAAGTTGAAGTAAACAGACTTTATCGAACAATTTTCGTAATTACTGTTTGAACAAAGAAAAGAAACCAAAACCACAAAACCGGACCTAAATGAAGATATTTAGGTTGACAACTGCTAAGGTTCGTTTTGCGAGGTTCTTTCCCTACGTGGTGCTCCTTATATTTTTCTGTACCTTCTGTTTTTATTCTTCAGATCATCGACAAACTAAGTCATCACAGGATAGAGCTGTTTGCTTGGAACCCATCAAGAAGATTAGTCAATTTTATTTTATAGTGTCTCTTTTTGAACAGTAGCCTACACATTATCTTCTTTTTCAAATGAAAAAGTATGAGCCAGTGTTCGTGATATTCTAAATAAGGCTCACAAGTCGAACAAGTTAAAAATTAAACAAAAATGGTCGGAAAGCATCGCAGACCAGATTATGATGGTGATTTTAAACGCTCCACGTCATCGTGAAACTGCAAAAATGTTGTAGCTACAAACAAAGAAATAAAGTCAATTTCGTGAATGTGCCATTTGTATCATTTTGGAATTTATGTATGTGGTTATTATCATTTTTTTTTTAGGCACACCCTTTTGTCACTAATCTAAATTTCTAAAGGAACAGTCGTGATCAACATCAATTTAAAAAATAATCAGCACAAGATAGACAGTTTTAAATAAACAAAGTTTTACAAATAGTCATAAAATGACTTAGATTTAGGGAATGCTATCATGAGGAGTTATTTTCTCTTTTAAAACCGATTAAAAAATACATTAAAACAAACTGAAACTTTCGACGAACAAAAGCGGCAGTACAGAGCTCAGTGTAATTGCTCAGTCTGGCCAGCAGGGGGAGGTGGTGGTTCTCAGCTGCTCTCGATCTGTATGATGAAAAGGCACTTCCGGTAAGTAGTGCGTCCCGTCAGAGTAGACAACGCGTACTGCAGAGAGGTAAGTACACAAGCGTAGCCGGTTATCGACAGTAAAAGGTTTTCATAAACTGTTTTGACAAAGATCGAAAGTATGAATTTATGCATATGGCCACTTTAAACGCTAAACTGAACTCATAGCCTTCTCAGTTGTCACAGAAACCCACCGTTTTTCAAAGAGGATCCTCTGACCTTGGCTAGCAGGATAACACTTAGCTAGCGTTAGCATGTTTTACAGAGCTCTTGAATATGAAATAAATGTCAAAGATGGTTTCATTTACTTTCAGCTTGTTAATATGTTTAATAATATGTTAATATGTTATAACGTGCAATATGTTTGGCCTGTTCTCTATTGGTACTGTTTGTGGACTAATCCGTCATGCTTATTTGCGTTGTTATTCGCACAGTTTCTGAACAAAATAATGTTTAATTGCCAACATTAAAAGATAAATATTCCATAACATGCCTTGTTTTTTTTTTGACCAACCTACTTTGGAGATATTCCAAAATTTCGACATAATGTACAAGCTGTCCCACACGCATATATTTGTATGTAATAAGAATGCCTGATTTCTCACAAAACCACCACCACCAGAAAAAGCTAATTTGTTTTGTTTTTTTAAACTAATTTTCACATTAACATTTTGCATTCTTAATTAAACATAACCTTAATGAAACAGAACAGTAGATGAGGTACTCTGGGAAGACACTAGATATTAAAAAATGAAAGAAAAAGATCCACACTTTCACACTTAAGACATCTCTTGGTTAAACAAAACTTTCTTTTTATTTCAAACAGTCGAGATGGCCGGTCGTCGTGTTGCCCTGAAGGCTATTGACTGGGTGGCGTTCGCTGAGCGGGTCCCACCCAACCAGCGGGGCATGTTCAACGCACTGAAGACACGGAGTGATGCCATCGCTGCCAAGTATGTCGCATATTACCAGCTCTTCAATTTAGAGATGGATATTTTATACGCAGGATATGGTGAAGTTATCCTTAATACAAACACACGGTGGCTCTTGCGTGAACACAGAACTCTAGTGCTTTCCTGGCTTTGGAAGATACTATTTTACTTGTTATTCTGTGTGAAGCCTGTGTGTGTTGTCACCAAAGTTTGTATGCCACTGATATGTACATCCGAGTCTGACTTGTGCAATTCCTCAAGACTGGTGGGATGCGTGTAAACAAGCACCAAAGAAGGGCTACTGATCAAACTACTCAGTGCAGCTCCACCTTTTTTTGCTAACTTTTTTTGTGTTTACATTATGAGTTGGTCTTCTATAGCATCATTATCATCTGTAAAAATATTTTCTATCTCTACACCAGACTAACCTCTCTGCCGGATACTCCTGTAACCATTGACTGGAGCTACTACAAGAGTGCAGTGGCTAAAGCCGGGATGGTCGATGAGTTTGAGAAGAAGGTGAGCATTCCATGATGAGTCACGATGTGCACACAGTTAGCTTTCACTCAAAATGGTTTATTTTTTCAAACCAATGAAACCGTATGTCATTATTGAAAGTAAATGTTTGATAAAGCCAGTATACAAAGACTGTCCTAATATTTCTTTTTAAGGAATATTGAAATTATTTGTTTAAAAAAAAAAATTGTAAATCTTTTTTTTTTAATAACCAGCCTCACCTCAGTGTATGATGGAAGTAAAAAAATTAATACTGTGCAGTCCTGTGATTAGTCCAGTTCTGTGATTGAGGCCCTGACAGGGGCCTATGAGTTGTAGAATGGTGACGCTGTTAGTCATTAGATATCTGTGCTGGTTTGCAGGATAGTGATATAACATTTAGCTTCTTCCTTCACATAGTTCAAAGCACTGCAGATCCCTGAACCCACCGACACACAGACGAGTGCCATCAACTCACAGGAGTCTGAGGCTGTGAGTAGCTGCTTCAAGCAAACGCATGGATTGCATTCTGATTGTTTTAATTGTTAATATCCATTAATTGTCCAAGCTTACTGTTGATTTTGTTTGTTGTAGTTTTTATCTTTGTCTTTTAAGACATGCAATTTCACATTTCTCAGAACAAAGGTGCTTTGGCCTACATTGAAGGATCAAAAGCTCGCATCGCTCAGTATGACAAAGAGGTGAGTTTCTTGTGAAAGCCCCTGGTAAAATATTTCACAAAAAGCTTTAGGGAGTTGGAATCTAATGCAATCTCTTCTCTTTTTTTAGCTCGACAAATTTAAGAACATGATCCCCTTCGATCAAATGACCATTGAAGACCTCAATGACACCTTCCCTGAAACCAAGTTGGACAAGGTCAAGTACCCTTACTGGCCCCACAAGCCCATTGCAGAGCTGTAATCCTGTCACTGGATCCTTCACTTCACAATAAAAACTATGTATTTTAAAAGATAAATGTTTTGTGCCTTCATTATTTGATAGATTTATGTTAACCATATGCATTGCATGTTTGGCCACTAGGGTGCAGTGTAGTATAAGTTTCTAGCATAAGACAGTTCCTCAATCTACTCAGCTTCTTATCTGAACACCTTGACTTTGTGGCCATTTTATCATTAACCAAAGCCATAAAAGTTAGTGACAGGCACATCTGGATAATAGTACACGACATCATAATTAACGCATGTATCAATTAATTTAGTTTTGTTTTTCTCTGTGATTTATGACTCAACAATCTTGATGCTTTAAAAGTTTTTTTTAAATTTCTAATAAACATCGATTTTAGGATAAGTATGATTATAATCTAATCACGAGTCCAGCTAATGTTCCCCTTGATTCTTATTGGCCGCAAAATGTGTCGTTAACTTTAGTTGCAGTCAAGGGGCGGGACTTCACGCATTGCACCCTGTAATTCATTTCCATTGGCTCTATTGCCGCGCTTCTTGGTCGCTGATTGGTTGAAGTTATTATGGAACAGGAGGGCCTAATAAAAGATGATTTCCGTTGTGTACCAACTTGAAAGTCAGTGACGATTGACGGGACAGCAATCAGCTCAGGTAAGTGTTTCTTAAAATGAATTCGTATATCTTACAGTGATATATATACAGTCTATAACTTGGTACACAAACGCGTAATAAAACAAGAATTCTTTGAGCAACGGTGACAGTTGCGGAAACAGTAGCTGTTCGTTCAAGTGTTTCAACATTGGCATCGGTAAACGTCTGTGGGATGCTGTTATGGATCGTTAAAAGGGTTCCAATGAAAAATGGATTTTAAAATGGGGGAAACGGCAACATATATGACCGGTAGTAGTTCTTCGTCCACGCTCTTGAACGTCACTCTGAGCTGCCATCAGTAGCATCGACAGCAAGCTAATGTTATCGAGGACCAGCGTTAGCCATTAGAGGTAACGTTAGCTGAGACTGTAAGCATGCTGCCCTTTTCCAAGCTCTGGAAAAAAATACACTGCAAATATCACACATAAACTGCTGAGTGTCTCAGAGGGTTACTCTTGCCTGTAAGCGACGACGGCTTACTTGAATATCTATTTAGCCATAAAACGTGCCTCATGTCAGCTAGTTTAGGTATTGATACAGGACATCCTCTAGCAAGATCATAGTGTAATGAGCTTATTCTTTTGGTATTCTGTAACCGGTTTCTTACTACCCCGGTGTGTTGACAACATGACTAAACAGACCAGAGTTCATCCAACGTTCTGTGGGAGCAAATGATCCTTAACTATTTTGGCTGGAGGGAAATCCGAGCTGATGTCTTCAGAGTACACCTCGACCACTTCTCTGGTGTTGGGTTTTATGCTTTTAGGTTTCCTCAACAAGAACTTTGTTTGAAGTTCACTCTTGCAGTAAACCTTCGACATGTTTCAGTGAAGGTCTTTTTAAAGTAAAAACAAACAGCTAAGCAATATTTTTACCTCAGTGTGCATATATGTAAACAATGGCTTTGTGTTATTTCCAGACATCTCACTGGAGGGACAAAGTTAAAAAAAAAAGACTGTCTTTATGTTTTTATCTTTTGTGCAACATCACACAACATCTTTTTATCCGTTGCTCAGGACAGGTTTGTGGCCTGAGTTCTACATGCTTGATATTGTTTTTTTGTTTTTTTTAAATCATAGGAGTGTGTGTGTTTTGTGTTTGTAGCAAACAGACGTGGTTGTGTTGTGGTTTGACAAGGTCTGACCCTGGACAGTGAAGTCAACACTGGCCTCATTGTCTGAAGAGGACAATGCGAGTAGGCCTGCACAGAGGGAGGCTCTGATAGAACATAAGAGGTTGGATTCTGTGTCCTCCCTGTGGGGCTGCTAGCCTGTGCCTCTCTTACAGCGTTATTACTGCATTGGAGGATATGTAGAAACAAAGAGACAATGTTAAGCCACACTTCATGTGTAACAAGTCCTCATTTACCCTCGTAGCTTGACTGTTGTTATTTTTGTTACAGAGCCAGCTCCACCAGAGCTACAAATGTCAGGACAACAGAATACTTTGTAATTATATTGGCCTACTTTGATCCTTGCATTAGCACACACGGTTGTGATATCAGAACAATTACCTGTATTAGTTTTTAAATTTCCTTTAAATTTTTTAATGAAATACTTAATACATTGAATGTATACATTTGGAAATTACATTTATTGTTAATATTTAAGGTTTTCTTCCAAATTCAAGCCCTCAAAAGCCAATGCTTCACAGCAGCATCCTGTTTTATGGTTTGTTTGTGGCTCACAGGGTTACCCCATGCAACATGACACTCTGTCCTGAGCTTTTCACTTATTGAATTTCATCTCCACAGCAGTTCAAGCACCCTGTCTAAGTCACTGATGGTATAGATTAAGCAGGAAACGCATTAGTCCAGAGCTGCAGCTAACGGTGGTATGTGTTGTGGTGTTATTAAGAAGATGGCTTGTATTATATACAGACTGCTCGCTGTGCACTTTTTAGTGGAAAGCTTAATCACAAAGCATAGCTAGTGCAATTAGGAACTACTTTTGATCTGAAATGATACATGTTTCAGAGCTGTCATGAGAAAAAGAAAATGAACATCTTTAAATCTCTTCTGATAAACTGCTTGGATTTATTCCTGTGTTTTATTATTTGACATATTTTGAAAAAAATAAAAAAATAAAATAAAATCTAAAATTGTATGCAAAACATTTTTCGTAATATTATTATTTTTTAGAAATCGCCTTTGTGAAATTACATTCGTAAAAATCTCTTTAGATAGAGGAGAGTAGAACACAAAAAAACTCGATTCCTATATTTTTGCTAATACCATGTAATATACATAAGAGGCCTCCTTCTTTGTTCTCTTTGAGCCTTCAGCTGACACATTTTATGCTACTTGCCAGGTTGCCTTTAGCTGTGCTGTCGTTAGTCAGAGTTGGAGTTGGATATGGGCTGTCATCAGTGGACCAAGCTTTTATACGAGCTGTAGGGAGAAAAGAAGGCGCGTTACCACCGCAGTAGTTCATAAACTTGTGTCAGCTGAATCAGACCCAGACAATGAAGAAGTATGTGGTCAGTCTGCAGTCAGGTTGTGAAGAAATCATTAAGACACCAGCAACAACAGTAAACACAAACTTTGTAAACATAAATGTCGACCTATGAACTTTTATCATCAACAATCATGATTTCTCCTCATTCACTAGTGAAATTTTACCAATTTATTTGGTGAGACAATTAGGAGGTGTTGAGGGTCCCAAAGAGATAGTTTTAAAAAACTTTTTTAATTTGTTTCATTGAGTGTCTGGTCTGTGACAGAAATAAATATTTGGAAATATTTAGGTTTGTACTTTTATCATAGGTTACTGTGAAGTTAACACTTATAAAGGAAAGACAAAGTATGTTCGTCACTGGTCTATCGGGTAATGGAAGCCAGTCTTTTCAGGGGATTCCAGCTCATCAGCATCTCTAACAGTATGTAAAAAGGAACAATCGGATATAACTTCAGCAGTTACATTTGGTTTGATATTTTTTTTCTTCCCCCTGAAAGGGTCCTGCTGATGACCTTGCATCAGAGCCGACATTCTGGCCCGACATGAATGTGTGTTTGATGGTGCTACATCCCAACAACTGAAGTGGCCCCTGTCCATAGACGCAGCTATGAAACCGGAAAATAAATTTAATTTCATTTTATGCATTAGGCATGAATGATTTTGTATGCTTTCTCTTCAGATTGGTCCTTTGCACAGCTGGTGTGCAACTAACATTTGCAAAGACAGATCTGGTGTGTCTAGAGTAGAAACGTTTCCTATTTTGTTCTTAAAAACAGATAAGAGGTTGCCTGGTTAGGAATCAAGGGTTTCTTAGTGCTGCAAAAAATAAGTCCTACAACTTTGAATTTACATCTTTGCTTTTCCTACAGTCACCTCTGCTCCCTGTAGAGTACTCATCTCTGTCTTTGCTCTTAGTGGCTGTTGATGGACCATCCCTATGAAGAAACAAGGTTACAATGGGACAGAGTACCTCAGAACAAGGGGTCCAAGAAGACACTTCACCGGTGGGTTTTTATGAAACACATTTCATTGTTTTGCAAAGTTGTTTTAGCAGATAGAAAATCTCGGGTAAATAATCCAGCATTTATTTTAAGCTCAATTGCAGTGTGGAATTGGCATCCAGAAAGAGGACAATGCAGAGCTTACATTCTACCCACCAAACTGCTGTAGCATGAGTAAAGTTCAGAGAGACATTGTAATTGAGCTCATTATAACTGTTTTTATGGCTGGTAGAAATATTTTGTCTGGTGATTTTTGTCTGTTTTTCTTCTATGAGCAGATGAGCCATAAAGTTTGAATGTGATCTGCAAATCAAATGACAGCCAACTGTCGGCATGAAACATAAAGCAGCTCATAGTTATAAAGCATCAGTTTGAATGGGCATTCAGGTTGGCCATTTCCAAAATTGGCTGGCAGAGTTCTTCCCTAACTGAACTTTACAGTTCAATCTGCCACTTCTCAGCCTGACAGTCATTCAGTTTATTACGCTGACTTCTCTTAATGCACCAAGTTTTTTGGACCAATTTTTGGAAACGTTTTCTTAAGATGCTCCATTGATACGTTCTCTTTTCACAATTATATTTCACTCCTAATTTCAGTTTGAATTCTCAAAGTCTCTACCAGGGTTATGTGGTACTAAGTTTATTTTAGTACGCCCGTCAGTGTTACCTCTGTGCATCTTAGGCTTTTTACATCCAAAATAACGCGTCACACATTAGTAAATAACTACTGATGGCACCCAGTGTCCCCGGCTTACAGCCAGAATTAAAAAAACCCATCACTTCCAATGGTGTTTACAACCCAAAAACACTCATTATGTTCCAACAAATGAAATCATGCAGCTTATTTTAGCATTGGGGTGTTGACCCTTATTTCTTTTTTCTGGTGATAGAGCTTCAGGCCACTTTTGTCGAGCCAAAACGATAATATAATTTGCTTGGCCTTTTATTGGCTTGGAGCCCTGGAGTTCTGCATGTGATGTGTGAGTATACGAGTAAAGGGGCTTTCTGTGCTTG